TCACATAATCAGAAAAAGCTGGAGGTGGTGCTGTGGCTCAAGTGGTAGAGTTCTAGCCTTGAGCAAAAGAAGCTTAGAGACAGTGCCCAGGCCCTGAGTTCAAACCCCAGGACTGGCAAAATAAAAAAATGATAGATGAATTGTGAGAGATGCAAGTGGCTAGGAGCCAGGAGCGTCAGGACCTCCAGCTTCTGTTGCCATGTTGATGCGGTGTCTCCTCTCTTTTCTTCCCTTTTATTGTAGTTCAGTCTTCTCTGCCAACAATTTTATGCCATGCTCCTGAAGAGGGTTACATATTCTTGGCGGAATTGGATGGTGATGTTATCTATACAGATCCTGGTGCCTCTGGTGATCATTGTATTAACCCTAATGTTCTTCAGCTTCCAAACAAAGAGCCTGGAGAGTGTTCCCTTGAAGTTGACTCTAAAAACATATGGTCGGACTATTGTTCCATTCTTTGTCTCTCAGAACTTCACCCTGGATACTCAGCTTTCAAATCACTTTGCAGATATGCTTGAGGCTGAGGGGCAGATTGCTCTGCAGATTCCAGGTAAGACTCAGAACACAGGGGAATGGGCACAAAGTAGGCTCATTTCATATTTTACAGGGAAATTATATCCTTGTGGCCACTTGCTGTTCTCAGCAAAATGACAAGAAAGAGGGTTGCTAGGAATGAGACCAGGCGTGTTTCTCTAGGAATTAAGGTATCCCCCAAGGCAAGTGTATTCAGAAGAATATAGATATAGATATATATCTCAAGAGAGTTTGTAGGTAAATTTGTGATAAATACAAAGAAAAAGTGCAGTGGAAGCTGTATAAGAAATAAATACAGCCAGGTGCCGGTGGCTCAAGCCTGAAATCCTAGCTACTCAGGAAGCTGAGATCTGAGGATCGAGGTTCAAAGCCAGCCCGGGCAGGGAAAGTCTGTGAGACTCTTATCTCCAATACACCACTAGAAAACCGGAAGTGGCACTATGGTTCAATCAGTAGAGCACTCACCTTGAGCTGAAGAGCTGAGGGATAGCATCCAAGCCCAGAGTTCAAGCCCCATGACCAACCAAAAAAAGAAAGAAAGGAAGAAAGAAATACATTGGTGGGGTGCTGGTGGCTCATGCCTGTAGCCCTAGCTACTCAGGAAACAGATCTGAGAAACATGATTTAAAGCCAGCATGGGCAAGGAAATCTGTGAGACTCTTATCTCCAGTTAAGCAGCAAAAATCTGGAAGTGAAAACAAAACCAAGCAAAAATGCTAGACTTGGAGTTGAGGCTCAAGTGGTAGTGCGCCAGCCTTGAGCAAAAAAGCTAAAAGACAGCACTCATGTCCTGAGTTTAAGCCCTGGTTCTGGCACATGCGCACGTGTGCACACACATACACACACACTTTAATCAAAATTTGGTTTTAACTTTATTGCAGGAAGAGGGGGGGAATCCGTAGGACATGTGCCTCTGAAAACAGGCCCTGGAGATGGTATGAGTAGCAAGGCATGCATCTGTTTGCATGTTTCTCATCATGTTTTGTATGAATATTCAATATTTAAGATTATAATTTCTACTAAGTAAAACTTCAAAGTAATGACTCTTATAATAAAGAGATCAAATGCAGAATATGATATAACAAAACAGTTGAATCATAAGGCCCTGTACTAGAACTTGGATTTTTTGTTGGTGGTGGTGGTGGTGGTGGTCATGGGGCCTGAACTCAGGGCCTGGGTGTTGTCCCTGAGCCTTTTCACTCAAGGCTAACACTCTGCCACTTTAAATCATAGCAACACTTCCAGATTTCTGGAGGTCAGTTGGAGATAAGAGTCTCATGGAGGGGCTGGGAAGGTGGCTCAGTGGTGGAGCGCTTGCCTTGCATG